CACTAAATTCTAACCCTTATACTAACCCTAATCCTACATAAATAAACTTTAAAGCATTTTATGCATAAATTTCTTTATACGATATTGCTACCATAATGCAGAATCGACTTCAAACCAGGAACACGAAAATTTGTTCTGAATGATGTGATCTGTCCAATAAAATGAGTCATGGCGCCGGAAAATTTTGACCGGTTTTTCAAGTTTATTAATTATAATTGTCTTTCTATATTATACTATATAACTTTATACCGATATGTAGTTACTTTTGTAAAACAATTTAAAAAGCCGACTATTTTATTTGTTGGTTTAAAGTGTCCCGTGTTGTACTACCATTATTTTATTTATTTAATGTCATCATCCGGCTCTGAAAATATTATTGTTAATTGTAACAAAACACGTGCCTATTACAAGAATACACCACCTTTCCCATGTCCGAACTTGGAGCTCAATTCTTTTGCATTATCTATAAACTCTTTGCGTTTACGTGAATCCATACGACGTGAGCCTAATACATCTTTTTCGCGATCAAATGGACGTTTGCTAACATCATCATCTTTCCATCTACGCGATTTGGTATAACTTTCAGAATGAGTCTCTAAAAGTGATTTTGGTCGATGTAGTTCCTGAAAGTAAAGAAAAGGGTAACATTTGTAATGATATCAATTATGCATATAGACAAACAAAGTAAATACTAACATTATATGCTTGGATAGTTTCAGCTTTTTCAATGTCTGCGCGTGAATACTTTATTGGTTCTTCTTCATCTTTTTCTTTTTCATGTTTACGTTTTTGACCAGTAATCTATTAATTGTATAATAAAATGTTTACCATACATAAATAATAATGTAACATTTATTTAAGTGCGTACTTCTTTTTGTAATCTTATCTGCCTATCGGCAGGAGTTTCTGTCCAAAGTGAATTGTCATTTTTTTCTGGATCATGCGTCCTTCGTTTAAATTGGCGAGAACGCATGTTGGTTGGTGTCTCTGAAACATCGAAATGTGAAATGATTTATCAAAAACTTATATAAATAAAAAATATGTATATACTAACCTCCTAAAAATGTTGATTCTGGTGGCACGAGCATCCATTCTCCACGCTGTAAAGGTTTGTCTGCTTTATCGTCAGGCTTAAAATGAAATAATATAGAATTTGTTAATAAAGTTCATTAAACAAAACATGTTTATATAAATAAGAAGCTTAAAGGTTAAAACAATATATGGAATTACCTCTAATGTTTGACGCATCTTTTCAGCTCTTTCTTCGAACTCTTGAATTGTCTGCTGTAATATAAGATCATCTTTGTTTTTTTCAAAGTCCTTAGGTAATACTGGGCCAATGATAATTTCTTCTTCCTCTTCTTCCTCTTCTTTGTCGAAATTTAAATATTCAGTGGGATTCGGCAATGTTGGCCCAATTGGGCGTCTTTTGAGATTAGCAGCTTCTTTACGTTGAGAGTCAACGTTTTGTTCTAGTTTAGCAGCTTTTTTTCTTTGTCGTTCTGCAAGAAGATCGGGAGGCAAAGCGGGCAAATAAGCGTCTAGATCTTCTTCGCAATGTTGAACATTGGACGTGGACATTGCTGCATTGGACTAGTGTTTCAAATCGATTAGTTGAATTTTAAATAATCACATGTTTTTTGTATCAATTTAATTGGCTAAAGAAATTTATGCATAAAATGCTTTAAAGTTTATTTATGTAGGATTAGGGTTAGTATAAGGGTTAGAATTTAGTG